AGATCAGAACCACAGTAACACAGTGCCTCCCAGTCCCATCCCCAGAAGTTGCTCCAGAAGGATACCTTGGTCGATGTTATCGAAAGCTGCTGAGAGATCCAGAAGGACCAGCAGGTCACACTCCCTCTGTCCCGCTCTCCACATAGATTCTGCATCAGGTGACCAAAGCCGTTTCCATCCCATGTCCTGACCCGAATCCAGGTTGAAATGGATCTAGAAAATCAGCTTCATCCAAAAATCTTTGGAGTTGTTCAGCCACCACCTATTCCAAAATCTTACTAACAAATAGTAAATTTGACACTGCCATATAATTGTCCAAAACAGTGGGATTGATGGATTGTTTTGTTTTTTTCAGAAGAGGTCTCACCACAGCTTCTTTCAATGCCATGGAGACCCTGTCTTGGTGGAGTGAGGCATTAATCAGCTCCCTTATCCAGGCCATGCTCCCTTTGGCTTGTTTTAACAGCCAAGAGGGACAAGGGTCAAGAATACAGGTGGTGGCCCAGACTTCTCTCAAGATTTTGTCGGCATCCACAGGTAAACCAATTGGAATGAATCCATAGAAACTAGATAAGACAATGGCTACCTCCACAAGAGCTACATTAATAGTGGTGTACAAATCATCATGAGTCCAGCTGATCTTAGTGGCAAAATGGTGGGCTAAATCCTCACAATGGGCAGTGGTATAGAACACATGATCCTCTCCTTTGGGGTTTAATAACTCTTTAACTACTCTGAACAGCTCTGAGGACTTATTTTTAGTAGTTGCAATAGATGTGAAGTACACAGTTTTCTTCGCTGCCTCGATACCCCTGCTGTACGCCTTCTGGTGGTGCCTAGTTTTCTGGCAGTTGGATTCACTCTGATTCTTTTGCCACTCAGACTGTAGTCTCCTTCCCATCTGCCTCATTGCTAATATCTTCTTGGAAAACCAAGGGGCCAAGTGGGAAGGGGACGTTTCGGAGCAATCATATCGATAGCCCTGGCCATCTCTGTATTCCAGAGATCAGTCAAAGCATCAATGGAATCACCTACCCTGGTAGATGGGAAGTCCCCAAGAGACATCAAGAATCCATTTGGATCCATAAGCCTCCTGGGGTGGAACATCTTAATGGGTCTGCCACCTCTGTGGAGGAAAGGAGTCCCGGTGAATCAGAACCTGACCAATAAATGATCTGACTATGATGAATAGATTACTGAAAGTTCTTCCTCCATCAGATTCTGTCTCTGCTCTCCGTGATAAACATCAGGTCAAGAGTGTGTCCAGCCTTATGTGTGGGGCCAGCTATCAATTAGGGCAGCCCTATGGTTGTCATGAAGTCCTGAGCTGCACCTAAAAGGGTTAATTCAGCATGAATATTGAAGTCTCCCAGCACCAAAAGTCTGGGAGAGTCCAAAACCAGGCTGAAATGCTGAGTAGGGACTATAATGAAAAGAGGATACTATACTGACTTCTAGTTACATAATTGTATTGTAGATTCTTGTTGGAAAAATGGTTCAAAGGAAGCATTGAAATAATAACCACAAGCCATGAGTTGTAAAATTCTATCAATACCTGGAAACATTAAACAGAAAATATATGGCATTCCACAAAAAAAGCATTTTGGTAGCAATATGTCTACACCCAGTTCTTGCTCTGACTAGTGCAAATGCCAGTAACAATGTAATTAATACATGGTAAGTCATAAACCCCTGGCATAATGGTAAGTTGGCTGGCATGAACACACACTTTTCTGCCAACTTGTGAGGCATGCCTATGCAGCTGTTGATAAGAATAGCTTATTACAGAGAAGGATTTCAAGCAGGAATTGTTTGTGAGGATTGTATAGCTCATAAATATGTATTGCTCCACCTTCACAGATAAAGGCTTCGATGAAGCAGGAAAACAAAATCGATTTGTAACCGCACCCTGAAATTTGCCTCTGCACTCTCTCTCCAAGTTGGCTTAAGTGCTGGCATGGCAATATGGAACCAGGTTTAGAATTGTCACAGCTACAGCTGTCTAAGACTTCAGTTTTTTCCTGGATATAATCTTTTTTTTCCCTTCTCTATATTCCTAAGCCCCCCCCCCCCCCCCCCAAAAAAATCTGGTAGACATAAATTTGTTACCAGCAATGTAAGGATGTAATTGAACAGATTATTTTTTATTAAAACTTTCAAAAAATTACAAGTTATAGTAGTTTCGACCAGGGTTTGAAAAACTTTTTCCACTTGTGACCCCTTTTGGCCCAAGAAATTTTTCACAACCCCTTTCCACCTGAAATATTTGCATGACCCCAGGTAGGTGTATAAAATTGGTATGAAAATCAAAAATTTACTGATAATTAATCAGCATTCACAAGGCTTGCTAAACAGGCTGTTTTTTTCTTTTTATGAAGTACAGCTGAAGCATCTTCTACAGAGTCCACTGTATGTTACTAACAGATTCATGTTGTTACTAACAGATTCTAGTAAATGCCTAGTTGGCATTCAGAAGCCTTTTATTGTTGCCAAATTTTTGTGACCCCAACACTGAACTAAGATGACCAGTATCTTCCTTTGAAAGATATCCTACAGCTTCTGGTATTCATTCGCAGTCTCCCATCCATATTTAGGTATTTAGGTGGCTATTTTGTTAGCAATTTTATTCTATTTAAGTACGCATGCAAATTCTATAATAACCTATAATCCTATAGGACAGTGGTTCTCAACCCATGGTTTTTCCCAGATGTTTTGGCCTTCAGCTCCCAGAAATCCTAACAGCTGGTAAACTGGCTGGGATTTCTGGGTGTTGTAGGCCAAAACACCTGGGGACCCACAGGTTGAGAACCACTGCTATAGGACAATAGCCATTTTTTCTTCCTTCTGCCTTGTCATTGCCTCAACAGTCATAACAGTGCAAGATGAAGTTGAACCAAGCACATCATGTGTCCACACTTCAATCATGTAATATTCTTTCAACGCCTTTAGCAAAGTCATAAAATTAAGTGTTACAGTTATGGTGCAAAAGGATACAATGATTCCTTGTAGTGTCACAACTCTAACACTGTGCCATGGCAGTGAAAGTGGGGTCAAACTGCATTAATTATACCCTGTAGATGTATCCTTAGGCCCCTTCCACACAGCTGAATAAAATCCCACATTATCTGCTGTGAACTGGAATATATGGCAGTGTGGACTCCGATAACCCAGTTCAAAGCATATATTGTGAGATTTTCTGTCTTGACATTCTCGGTTATATGACTGTGCAGAAGGGCCCTTAGTTATGATGTTACTATTGCAAAAAACAGCAACTACCTTTTAAAGCTATGCAACTTTTCATATAAAAATTAAACAAGTGTTTGCCTATTGGCAGTACTGAACCACATTCCCAGAAATCCTCCAGATAAAGGGTAGCAGGGCTCTTTAGTAACATCAGTTTTTAACTTTCTGTCTGGTATTAGAGACCAATATTCTGTTTTAAGAATTAAGATAAACCATGGAAAGTTCTTCCCAGTGCAGAAGATTGATTTTCATTCACTCAAGCATTCTGTGTAAGCATGTGATCACATTGACTGCTTGCATCCTAATTCCTTTGAAGTAGCAGCGTGCACTGCAGTTCCAGCTACTGCTGCAAGCTTGACAAGGAGGCTGACATATTTATCAGCTATCACTCATGACAAGTTGCTGAATGAAAAAGGTTCTGCTTTGTATAGTACTTGCTGGTCCTATTCTGCACTCTCTGCCAAATTATTATGGGGGCCTCTCGAAGGCTGTGATAAAAATTTCTAGGAAGTTTCCCCAACTCTACAAGAGAGTTAGTCCACAATTAGCCAAAGCAGAAGGTACATGATACGACATTTATGATCTGCATCAGTGTTTCTCAACCTTCCTAATGCCACGACCCCTTAATATACTTCCTCATGTTGTGGTGACCCCCAACCATAAAATTATTTTCATTGCTACTTCATAACTGTAATTTTGCTACTGTTATGAATCATAATGTAAGTATCTAATATTCAGGATGTATTTACATTCACTGGACCAAATTTGGCACAAATACACGATACGTCCAAATTTGAATACTGGTGGGGTTGGGGGGGATTGATTTTATAATTTGGGAGTTGTAGTTGCTGGGGTGTATAGTTCACCTACAATCAAAGATCATTCTGAATCCTACCAACAATAGGATTGGCGCTTTTTTCCCTGGCTTGAAGGGACTCACTGGCACGAGCCTCCATCCATCCTCACATGCTCTCCCTTGCCCACACATGCACACCACGCTGCCATGCACCAAGCACACCTGCTTCCCTTTCCCACTTGGAGTCTTAGGAACAGCCCTTTCCTTGGCTGAGAGACCGGCCGAGAGAGAGAGAGAGAGAGAGAGAGAGAGAGAGAATTAACTGACAGGTTGATAATCAGTATATATGTATATACAATAGAGTCTCGCTTATCCAACCTTTGCTCATCCAACATTCTGTATTATCCAACGCAGTCTACTTCCCACCCAGATGCACAGCTGTTTCAATACATTACAATGTTTTGGTGCTAAATTCTTAAATACAGTAATTACTAAATAATGTTACCGTCTATTGAACTGCTTTTTCTGACGATTTGTTGTAAAACATGATGTTTTGGTGCTTAAGTTGTAAAATCACACACACACACACACACACAGTTATTTAGGTTACTTGCAGTCATCATGTGCCACTAAATCATTGTTAACACCATCTTTATGTTGTGGTACTTAAAGATTTGTTATATTCAGCTTCTATGTTGATTATTACAATTTTATCCCATCCTTCCTCCAAGGAGATCTATTTCCCTCATAATGTATTATAAGTTTAAAAGTGCAGAAAGTTTAAAAGTGCAGAGTATAAATAAAGTGATCATTATCATAGCAACTGTTAGTTCCACCCCCCTCCCCAAAGAAGGACAATATCAATGAGCGAACTTGACCCAAAACTAAACTTACATACTTACATACATTAAGAAGTAGTTCATTAATAACAAATAAGGCAATATATCTGTGTAATACTCACATTCATTGCTTGCTTTATATAAAGCTGAAGAAGAAGAATGATGAAGAATATAAAGCTGACAGTTCCTGGTTGTAACCAAAAGCATAGGTAGAAATATTTCTCTTATCTGAAAAAAAGAAATTATTTCACTTTGCAGAGAAATCTTTGTATACTGAGTTTTCCAAGTATTTCCTTTACTAATTGCTACCTGCTTCACATAAACACACCACAATAACTTCGGGACTGAAATCATTTACACTGGTTCTAAATTATAGATGTGCACAGTTGTATCTCTGTCATCAAATTTTCATACATATTTGAGAATATCTTTGGACAAAGCATTTCTCACCTCTTTCCATCCCTTTGTCTTCATATGGACGCCCCTTCAGCTTGTTTTTATTCCTCCATATGCTTCTTTTCATCTATAATTTCTCACCTTCTTCTTTTTTTTTTTTACTGTTTTTGCCTTTCAGGTTTTGATCTTTCCTTTGCATTTTTTTACCTTTTCGATCTTTCCTTGACTAGTACAACATTTGGGTATGGACCCATATGCAATGCTAGTGAGTTGGCCTTTATACTGTAACCACTCTGCTATGTGTACTGGATATTGATTTTACACAGTGTGCGCGCAGTCCAAAAAATCAATACTTCAGTAGACTGAACAGAGTGTGTGGTGGTGTAATGGAGCCCAGCTTGCTAATGTAACATGCAGGGGTCCTCATTCAGAGATTGAGGTCAGTCACTAAATGGAAATGTGTTTTCTTATTTTGTCTATTTCAGTGTTAGGGCCAGTGTATTTAACATATCAGGCTGCATTAAAGTAACACCCAGCAAAACACTGAGAAGCTTGCCCTATGTATCTTTTAACGACACACAGATTTTAAACAAGAGCTTAATTAACTATTTCCCCATGTTTAATATGTTTACTTAAAGACCACCAAGAGGAATGGCTGAAAGATATTACAAAAGTCCAGCCAACTGTGCAATCCAGTAGACAACTGCTTAGAATTGAGGTCTATTCTACATAATCTATTACATTCAATGGAATTTATTCTGAGTTAAGTGTGTATAAAACTGCAGAAAAAATTAAGCTATCTTAATTCAGTTCCAATGAGACACACTTACCAGTGCAATGTTATCCATGTCTGTTTGGAAGTGATTTCCACTGTCTTAAATGGATTGCATGTGCAATCCATAAAAAATGGTTCTAAAGTACTTACAAAACTAGGGGGCGCTGACACTTCATTTCTAACGTGTTTAGAATGTTTCAGGGGTGAACATTTCAGAACTCTAATGAGACTAACAAAATTTAGTAATTACTTTGATGATGGCAATTGCACATGTGCCATAAGGAAAACATCACTGTCAGTGGGGAAACTTCAGGGGCTCTTGTCTCCACCATTTTTAAAGCTACTAGGGTGAAACTTGATACAATGGTAGAACATATTTACCACTCTTTGCCCCTCAGGTTTCATAACATTTCATTTATTCACTGATTTTTGACAAATTTTCAAAGTTTTTATAAACAACATAAAAAAAGAACTACAAAAGCTATAAACTTGAATTTTATGTACAACGCACAAGATGACCAGGGCATCCATCCCCAGAAGTTTCAAAAATATTCACATATCTACAGATTTTGGGGGATTTTTAAAAGTTTATAACAAAACAATTTATCCCTCAAAAACAACCACAGCAATCCCCTTGAATGTCCGTCAGGTTTTATGACATACAACCACAGAACTTCAACTTAGCACAGATTTATACTATTACTTACTTTAGTCCTCTTTTCAGATTCAATAATTTCATTTATTAGTTATTGTAAATGGCTTGATGGCTGCAGTGCTTTCCTTATGATGACGGTCCAAAGTAAAATGAATGATTTTGAAAGCACTTTATGTTCACTTAGCTTTGCCAACATTCCTTAATGCTTGCTTAGTTTAGTCCTCTTTGCACATTCAGAAATTTTAGGTATTATTATTATTAGACTAACTCTAATAATATCTAATAAGAATGGCTTCGGCCAGCGATTATTTGGGTCCTTCAGCCCTCATTTGGGTCCTGAGCAGAATTGCATTCTGGGAAATGTAGTTTATGGCAGGGCTTTTTGCATTACTTGCCATTGGAGGCTTCAGTTTCCAAAACTACATTTAAGATGGCTGTGTTCTCAATCTCCATTAAGTGTAGTCATGTCCACAGCATTTTCCTTATTGCGACGATGGGGAAAAATTCCAAGGTAAAAGAATTGGTTTTTAAGCAGTCTATGCTCTCTTGGCTTTACCAAAGTTGTGTGAATTTTAATTGCATCACAGCTACTTACGAAGGTATTGAAACTTAAGAATTGAAGCAGTGAAAATCATAGAATCATAGAATCAAAGAGTTGGAAGAGACCTCATGGGCCATCCAGTCCAACCCCCTGCCAAGAAGCAGGAATATTGCATTCAAATCACCCCTGACAATGGCCATCCAGCCTCTGCTTAAAAGCTTCCAAAGAAGGAGCCTCCACCACACGCGGGGCAGAGAGTTCCACTGCTGAACAGCTCTCACAGTCAGGAAGTTCTTCCTAATGTTCAGATGGAACCTCTCTTGTAGTTTGAAGCCATTGTTCCGCGTCCTAGTCTCCAAGGAAGCAGAAAACAAGCTTGCTCCCTCCTCCCTGTGGCTTCGTCTCACATATTTATACATGGCTATCATATCTCCTCTCAGCCTTCTCTTCTTCAGGCTAAACATGCCCAGTTCCCTAAGCCGCTCCTCATAGGGCTTGTTCTCCAGCCCCTTGATCATTTTAGTCGCCCTCCTCTGGACACATTCCAGCTTGTCAATATCTCTCTTGAATTGTGGTGCCCAGAATTGGACACAATATTCCAGATGTGGTCTAACCAAAGCAGAATAGAGGGGTAGCATTACTTCCTTAGATCTAGACACTATGCTCCTATTGATGCAGGCCAAAATCCCATTGGCTTTTTTTGCCGCCACATCACATTGTTGGCTCATGTTGAACTTGTTGTCCACGAGGACTCCAAGATCTTTTTCACACGTACTGCTCTCGAGCCAGGCGTCCCCCATTCTGTATCTTTGCATTTCATTTTTTCTGCCAAAGTGGAGTATCTTGCATTTGTCACTGTTGAACTTCATTTTGTTAGTTTTGGCCCATCTCTCTAATCTGTCAAGATCGTTTTGAATTCTGCTCCTGTCCTCTGGACTATTGGCTATCCCTCCCAATTTGGTGTCGTCTGCAAACTTGATGATCATGCCTTCTAGCCCTTCATCTAAGTCGTTAATAAAGATGTTGAACAGGACCGGGCCCAGGACGGAACCCTGCGGCACTCCGCTCGTCACTTCTTTCCAAGATGAAGAGGAAGCATTAGTGAGGTTCAGTTTCTTAATGTTTGGCGCGCACCCTGTATGCGAGTTGGAATACACATCTTAAGTATAAAACATATGATTTGATTCTGAGTAATAAACACTTCTGATTCATTTGCACACCTCTGGTGAATTATCATCATCATCATCATCATCATCATCATCATCATACTGACACAAAACACAGTATGACACAGGAAATGAGATATGCTGGATTTCAAATCACAAAATCACAAAGTCGAACACTTCCCAAGCATTTAGAACTGTGGGATGTGTTTTTGGATGATGCGTGCAGATCCACGTAAGTGGCCTTTGCAGATGACAGATTGTGATTTTGTCAATGTTTATTGTTTTCAAATGCCTGCTGAGATCTTTTGTCATGGCACTCAGTGTGCTGATTACCACTGGGACCACCTGTACTGGTTTATGCCAGAGCCTTTGCAATTTGATTGTTGTTGTTGTTATTGTTGTTGTTGTTGTTGTTTATACCCTGCTTTATCTCCCCCAAAGGTGACTCAAAGTGGCTTAACATAAAAGTGTAGGATAGCAGCCAGCACACATGATTAACTGTCACATTCCCCTGCAAGTAAGTGTAATACATTCACTGAGATTTCCTGAGAGAACATACATAACATAGAAGTTCTTATTTTCCATTGACATTCAATACATCTACTAACGTTTGGCTTGTTTTACCTATTGCAAATATGTTTGGTACCACAGGTTCATTTTTATCTATCTGTCTGTCTGTCTGTCCGCCCGCCCGCCCTTGATTTTTTCAATTTCATTGCTATTTTCAGTTCACACACTGTTTTGGAGAGTTTTCGTTGAATTCACCTTGCTGAAGAATGCAACAGACGAATGAATGAGGGAAGAAGAAAGTCCTAGACTCATTTTACACTGCCTTATAAAATCCAGATTACCTGCTTTAAACTGGATTATATGGCAGTATAGTCATATAATCCAGTTTGGAGCAAATAATAATGTAAATTATCTGCTTTGATAGCCTGGATTATATGACAGTGTAAATCCAGTCGTAACCTTCTGATTTGAGATAGACTCAGGCAGGCCCATAGCCAGGATTTCGTTTCGGGGGGGGGGGGCTGAATTTTTTTTCAGGGGGGGTTTCGGGGGGGCTGAGTTTCGGGGGGGGGGCTGAGTCTGAGTGAAAGAGGGTCTAGCCTAGCAAACCTTTTGTATCATTACCCCAATACCCCCATGCATATGGGATATATTGAGTATGGTGATCAGAGCATGATATGAATAAACATAACAGCCCCCCCAAGCCCCCCCCCTGGCTACATGCCTGGATTCAGGGCCCTTCCACACAGCCAGATAACCCAGAATACCAAATAAGATAATCCACAATATCTGATTTGAACTGGATTGTCTGAGTCCACACTGCCATATAACCCAGTTCAAAGCAGATAATATGGGATTTCATTCAGCTGTGTGAAGGGACCTCGGAGGCAAAGGCAGTCAATGAAGGTGTATCAGTTGAAAAGGGTGGCAAATGGGAAGAGATTAGGCAGACCATGTAAGAAAGCGAAACAAAACAGTGTGGCTAGATTATGCAGTGGAAAAGCAGGTTCGATATGTTGGTTTTATTGGGTAGAAGCCTTTTTTCTATATGTTTTCTTTACTGACTGACTTCACATCCCTGGTTGTTAGCATTCACTAAGCAAATAGAATTGCCAGTTCAAATAAAGAATGTATCTTAGGTTAGGTGGGTTTAACTGTAATATATATATCTCATCTCACATTAGTTCCCTTATCCAGTCAATTTTTAATTGTGAATTTTGAATCTGTATTTTAATATATGTTTTTGTATTGTATTTTAATCCTTGCACTATATATTTTAATATATGTATTTTGTGATTGTGTGTTTTAATGTATGTATTTTGTGGTGATGTGTTTTAACTGTGTTGTGACCCACCTAGAACTGTTACTTAATTATTACTCTATGTAACATGACTTTTGTTTCTGGGTTATAAATGCCATTTCCTAATTGGTTCTATCATTTAAAAAAATATGCAAAAGGTTTATTAGACTGCAAAAACTTTGTTTTTGTGGGACATCCTGCAGTACATTTTGCTATAGTTTTTCAATGAATATCTCATCCCGTCTCAACATAGTTTGTGGCAGCCACAAAAATGAAGTTTCTGGAGTATAACAACTACTTTCAAAGTACGTACTGTACAATTAAACAATATT